CTAAAGCAGCTTGAATTCTCGGCAATGGACTCTTAGCAGGGGGATTTTTCGGATTTTTTCGGTTTGCCGTCCATATCTACTTGTTAATAATAAATCTTGTATTTTTATAATGTTTTTGGTAGTTTTAGAATGCTGGAAAATCACAAAAAATCGTTCAAACATTTTTGAAATTTCGAAATTCTTATTTTTGATCAAAAAGTCAAAAATTTTCGAAAGTTTTTATAAGTTTTTTTTAATGAGCACCCTTATACCTAAGCAAAAAATGCTTCAATCTTTTAACTGGTTAATTCTTCAGCGACTTTTCTGATGTATTTTTGCGCGAAGTTCCAAAGTTTTCGAAAATGCTTAAAAATATCGATAATTCTATGTCCCAAGACTATTTGCCTCGACTAATTCATTTATAGACATCAGCCCTAGATACAAATCACCACCAATACCGTACCCAGTCCTTGGCCGCCTTGCTCTCCATGGCCCGCTTCGCCCGGTAGTCGATGCATTTTTGGGCCCGGTCCGCTGTCGGGGCTTCGAGCACCTGGTCGCCCGGGGTCGGCAGCTCTTCCTTCCAGCCTAAATTTGAACTTCTGATTGTTAAATACATCAAATACTAAAGTTTTAAATATTGAAAAATATGACGAGAAACCACTAAATACAAAAAACGCACCCGAAATCTGGACCGGCGTACTAGGGCCCGCCTCGGCCATTGGCTTCCCATTCTCGTCGGTCATCGTCCGCACCTAAAAATTGCGATTTTACCAATATTAATATTTTTTTCAATGCATTTCCAATACATAAACTACCAATATCAATTTAATTTACTATAGATACCATTAATAATTGCAAAACGCACCCTGCACAATGCATGGCCGCAAACGAGATATTTCCCCTTCTTCAGCACGCCGCGCGTCACCAACACGGTGCACACCTTGCCGACGCCTGGAAGAGTCGGAAAATTGTGTTTTAAAAACCGTGATCTTTACTTTTCGAAAAAATGGCCAATCAGCCGTTTTTTCTATAACTAACAATTTCCGGCGCTTTCGCATTATCGGGGGGGGGGCAACTTTCTAATAGGATCGAATTTTTCAAATCTAAATATTGTAAGTGTTTCTAAACTGTTTTTCTATTCCTAAACGTAAAAACTTTTAAAAATTGACAAGGGTGCTAATGCACTTGGGGGAGGGAGGAGTCCGGATTTTGGCTACAAGACGCTCCAAATACCGTTTTTTAAACTCGAGGCCGTTAAAGCTAAGCCAAGCCTAAGCCTAGACTTCACCAAAACAACGAAGTCTAAGCTTTTTCTTAGCCGAGCCAAGCTTAGCTCATAGCCTAGCCCAAATGACCCCAATTTTGGACCACCTAAGACAATTTAAAGCTCAAGTTACTTAGCTTGGTTTGGCTTAAGGGCCTAAGCCGAAGGCTGCTACTTTAAGTTAAGTTCTTTGGCAAGCAGAAAACAGGTAACTTAAAGGGGGCGTCTCAACCCCTTACTACCAATTTCGGACTGGCCCCCCTAACTGCATTAGCACCTTGACAAGAAAAATATAAACATTAAGATTTTCGGCCAAAAATGGCCGATTTTTGATAACAATATCCACTTTCTCTAATATTTTTGAAGTTTTTAGATATTTTGCTAGCTGAAATATGGTTACAATTTACTGAAAATACTATTGAAACACTTTGATAATAAGTTACTCAACATTTCTGGACGTATACAACCCCCCCGGTAATGCGAAAGAACCCAGACTCCCCCTACCATGTTGAGTGGTGCTTTCGATGACGACCCCTTCAACGAGCCCATTTTTCGTGGATTTCAGCTCCATCAAGTCGGCCTGGATCAGGATTGCCTCCTAAGCACTTCTATTCGAGAAAGCACTTTGTTTTCGTACCTGTATCGCTGGCAAATTCTTTCTGTATAGCGCGGACACCTCGATGCATTGCGATTCGCCGCCCAGCGACTCGACGACGACGTTGTGCTGCAGCAGATCACGCTTGGCGCGCTCCTAAAATCATTTTTTTAGTTCGATCGGACGACCATCAATTTCTGCAAACTCTAGAATCACCAACCGGATCCGCTTCCGGCTTATCGACTTTGTTCACAGCCACCACTATCGGCACGCCGGCGTCTTGAGCGAACCTGAAAAATATTTGGAAATCACATTTTTAGGTTCTTTCGCAATATGGGGAGACAATTCTTTACTATTCGTAAGCTTAAAAATCCTACACATTTTTATTACAAATATCAAAAAAAATCCATTTTTTGACCAAAATGGGCGATTTTCTACCAAATTTCGAATTTGTCAAATTGTTTAATTTTTTTTCTAGCTAAAATATAGTTTTTTATTGAAAACATTCGTAAAATGCTTCCTATGAAGTTACGACGCATTTCTAGACTTATACAAAAAAATCCCCCTTCCCCCGATAATGCAAAAGAACGAAATTTTCAGGGCAGCTTTTAACAACCTCAAATTTTCAAAAACTCTAACTTTATTTTTATTATTTCTAAAGCATACTTAATGCTCTGAACAGTCTGTTCCTTCACGCCATCGTCAGCGGCGACGACGAGTACGACAATATCCGTGGCGCGCGCTCCTAAAGTCGAATTTTTAGATCTTCTATGACTCAAACCAACCTCGCTCCCGCATTGCCGCAAAAGCCGAGTGCCCCGGCGTATCCAAGAAGGTCACCCGCCTTCCCGCGCCTTTTAAATCCACTAAAAGCGATGTTAAACTCTCTAAAATCTCATTATCCACCTGAAAAAGCGCCAATATGCTGCGTGATACCGCCGAATTCACCCTCCACAATTCGTGAGCTTCTGAAAAGGCAAAATACCGAGTTTGTGTCAATTTGCGCGAGTTTTCTGACCTCAACGCATCCAATAATGTCGTTTTCCCGTGATCAACGTGGCCCATAATTGTCACGACCGGTGAGCGTTTGACGCATTCGCTGGCAGGTGGGGCGGGCCTGAAGTTTACAAAGTATTATAAAATTCAGACTCTATGACTAAAAAGAAGATCAGGAAAGTCGAAATCTAGTAAAAAAAATTACTGTGGGTATAGATCCAAGTCTTCCTCCTCCAATTTTGGCCGCGGTATTAGGCGAGGCCGAGCGTTGTAAACGGAGAGGAGCTAAAAATACTATCTTTTCAGGGGCGTTAACTTCCTAGGTTCTTTCGCATTATCGGGGGGGGTTGGGGATTTTTGAATGAGTCTGGAAATGTCCATTAAAGGGCTGGAGAAAGATGGGCCGGCGTCCGTCGGGGTGACGGACCGCCGCGGCGCTACCATCGACGCTTTCCCTCGCGTAAGCGCCCCCAAAACACCCCTCTCGCGTTTGAAGAAACCAGTTTATTGGCTATAACTTTTCCATTTAGCAATGTTTTCAACTAAAAAATTTCCTGAAACCAAGGACTTGGTGATACGCATCGATGGTAAAAATTTGAGCTGGATTGGATAGAAAACGGCCAAGTTCTGAGCGATACGGATTTTTGGGGCACTGTTTGGGCTGAAAGAGGCGCATATACAGCAAAACACCTCTAGAAAGTTGCAAAGTACGTTGCTATCCTTTAGAAAGGTTTTCTACAACATTTTTTAGCTATTATCACCATGAAATTGCTTTATTTCTAATGGCAGTTCTTGTACAGGTGGCAATGCGCCCTAGGGTATGTGGGGGCCCTCCGCCGCCCCTCTCCACTCGACTATCTGGTGTACTGGCTAGCGCATCGGACTGCGGGGCGGACCATCCTGGTTCGACCCCCGTCCGGTGCGGCCCTCTTTGCTCTTTCAGCGATTCCATCTTTCTCCAGCCCTTTAACCTAATAGCAATGTTTCAATCGAATTTTTAGTAATATAACTATGTTTCAACTACTAAAACTATCTAAAAGTTTAAAAAATCGTGAAAAGTCGAAATGTTGTCCAAAGGGCGTCCTTTTGGTCGAAAATCTATATTTTTTCATAAAAAATTTTAAGTTTTCACGTTTAGGAATAGTAAAAACCGTTTAGAAACACTTGCATTATTTATGTTTGAAAGGTTGGTCCCCCGCGAATGCGAAAAAACTCTTCCGTACCATTTTCAAAACTAAAAAATACACCTTTGCCAGAGATTCTTTATCAATAGGCTTGTTTTCCGCCACGACCTCCAGATTCCGCTGGTCGATGTTGAAGAGCACATCCGAAACCGAGTCAAAATCCTCGCCCAGCGATGCGACGAGCTCCCTACAAAAAATATATGTTATTTCTTCATTCCCCCACTTTATCGTCATATTCTCGTAAACATCAACGGGGCGCTTCGTGCTCTTCGTCTTTTTCACCACTACACTCTCGACGTGCTTGCTGCGCACGGACGTCTTTTTAAATCTAAAAAAATATAAATAACAAATCTTTACAACCTCCTGACATCATTCCTCGTCTCGGGCGCCTTCAGAAGATAGCAACCGGACGTGCAGGCCGATCCGGAGAATTGAGCCCGAGCTATTAGGGCGCATAGCGACCGCTGCAGTGGCCGGACCTCTGTGAGGCTTCTCCCGAGCATCCAGTTTGCGCTTTTACCTGAAAAGAAGTTATTGACGCATCAAATTGGTATTTTGATCTTCAAAAAACTAAATTTTTCAAAAGTTTAATTTTTGGGTCCCTTGCGCTTCACCGGTACGAGGTGCTACTACGCACACGCGAAGCATGGGCGCTCTTGACAATTCGCCTCAACGCTATTTTCTGGGTGTCGTGTGGCAAAAGTAATAAAATTGGCGAAATTTAGTTAATTTTTATCAAGATAATTTGGTAAACTTTTAAAATATGGAAACCTTGATTTAGCGCCCTTTCGTGCCTCTTAAAAATAAGGTCTTCCTGCCAATAAAGCCCTGAAAAACACATTTTTCCGATAAATCATGTCCTTTGTCGTGAAATCTATAGTTTTTTGATGAGCGGGCGTTTAATTAAGGATATCGTGGAATCACTGCTGCCTAGAAAGCGCTGATATTTTACCAAAATACAACCTTTTTAGGGCGTCGCATGGAGTTCTGGGAGTACGACGAATGGCTGCTGATTCTCCTGCTCTTTGGCTTCGCGTTCATCGCCGGCATCGCGATACTGTTTGTGTAAGTACTAATTCTTCTAAATTCTTGTATTTGCTTTTTAGGGTCTCTTGGCTGACAGCATGGCCAAAACGGTCACGCTCCGAGTTGCTGCGAACTGAGCAGGTTTACGACCCGACTGGCGACACTGATGTGAGGAGCCTCGAAAACCATATAAATTTTTTTAGGAAACTTTCGACAATCTTCTACAATCCAGCCCCACCGACAGCATACGATTGTACACGCCGGCGAAGGTCTACCTGTCTGTCGTGATTCCGGCTATGAACGAAAGGGTATTTTATTAATTCAGGGGGGAACCTACTTTTTCCTAGGCTTTAGTTTTTCAAATATAGATAGCGGAAGTGTTTTTGAAGGGTTTTTACTATCCCTAAACGTGAAAAATCACAAATTTTATTTAAGTATGTCAAAAATACTGATTTTTCGACCAAAAATGGCGAATTTTTACCAAAATTTCGACTTTGCCGGGAAAGTTTCAAATAGTTTTTCTAGTTGAAACAGATTTATTTTTTACTAAGGACCCTATTGAAACACCTCCTATTAGGTTACTAGACATTTCTAGGCTTATACAAAACGCTAGATCGCCCCTTGATAATGCGAAAAATCCAATTTCATTCACAGTTCTTCATTTTTTTCGTTAATTTCAGATTTTCAGGAGCGCCTGCCAAAGATGCTCGACCAGTGCATAGAATATCTGGACAACCGCAAGCTGTTTGACGAGAAATTTACGTTCGAGGTAAACCCCTGAAAACCCAAATTAAAACTTTCATTTTAGGTCATCGTTGTCGACGATGGGAGCACGGACGGGACGGCCGATTTGGCTTCTAAGCATCGCGGGGTCAAGGTGTTGAAGCTGGAGAAGAACCGCGGGAAGGGTACGAATAAAATTTGGTTTTCGAGAAAGTAAAATTTAGGTGGAGCCGTGCGAGCCGGTATGCTCAACGCCTCCGGAAAGCTGATTTTATTCGCGGACGCCGACGGGGCAACCGAGTTTCCGGATTTCAAGAATGTAATAATTTAGAATGAAGCCGTCCAATTTTTTTTTTTAGCTCGAGGACGAGCTGATCCGGTTGATGGGCGGCCCGCCGGTGGATGAGTCGTTCCCGGGCATCAGCATTGGCTCTAGGTGGGCTTAGCTTTTTGACTGGGGTTTTGCAGTGTGATATGGCTCATTCGATAGAGTTTGGGATTTTGAACAAGTCCCACCTTTATAAAATGCTGAACGAGAGCAAAAAGAAAGCGAAAATTCGGTTCTTTATCGGGGACCAACCTTTTTTTGAGGGTCTAATTTTTTCGAATATAAATAGTGGGCCTCTCAACGGTTTTTTACTATCCCTAACCGTAAACGCTTTACAAAATTCCGTAAAAAATATAGATATCCATTTTTCGACCAAAACGACCGATTTTTAACCAAAATTTCGATTTTGAGCAAGCTTCGGAAAAGTTTTTAGATACTTTTTCGGCTCGAAACATATTTGTTGTTACTAAAAACACTATTAAAACATTCCCTATTAAGTTATTAGACATTTCTAGGCTGCTACAAAAAATTTTGCCCCCCCCCCCCGCCCGATAATGCGAAAGGACCAGAATTTAAAACACTATCCAATTAGCTCGATCACGCCGCAAAACTCCATTAGCGTCTGAAAAATACCTTTCACGATGGTTAGCACTGCAAAGAAAATAAAACTGTTCTAGAGCCCATCTGGAAGAAGAATCAAAGGCCACCCGGCCGCTTTCACGAACGATTCTGATGGTCGGCTTCCACTTGCTCGTCCAACTTTTCGCCGTGCGCACCGTGCGCGACACACAATGCGGCTTCAAGCTTTTTACAAGGGGAGCCGTCGCCAGGGTGAGTTTTAAAGTATAAAAATCGTTATCTAAGATTTATAGTTATTCCCCGTGCTCCACATCGAACGATGGGCATTCGACGTGGAACTGCTGTACCTTTGCGAGCTCTGGAATTTGCCGATTGCCGAGGTACTATTTTTACAAGGTTTTCCGATTTAGATTTTTAGGTGGCGGTCCGATGGCGCGAGGTGGACGGTTCGAAAATCACGCCCGTCTGGTCGTGGATTCAAATGGGCCGCGATCTGGTCCTGATTTGGTTTAGGTGAGAATTATAGGGGACCAATTTTTGTGGTCTAGAACTGTCTAGTAACCTAATAGGAAGTGTTTTAATCATGTTGATAGTAAAATCTAACTATATTTCAACAAAACCTATTCAAACCTTTAAAAAAGTCGAGATTTTGGGAAAACACTGAGCCTTTATATTTGAAAGACTAGATCCTAAGAAAAACAAAGTTGCGAAAGAACCGAAAATGCTGTTTTTAATTTTTCCGTTTGAGAAATGCGAAAAGTTTCGTATCTGATCAGAAAACGATAAAACACTTTTTTTCCTTCGGTAACGATCCGCTTTTCAGATACTCTGTCGGCATCTGGACGGCAAAGCCCCCGAAATAGCCGCCCTCGATTCGAAGCCGTCACCAATTTACACCCACGTTGCTTTACCGTCCATTGCAATTGTCTATTTATTCCATTTCCCCGCTCTTCTGCCAAATATCCAAATACTTCTTCCCTTCCCACATACGCGGTCTGTCAATTCCATTTAAACTTTTCGACTTTTCACAAACTTCTCAAGCGCGCTGTGATTGGTCCCGTCCGGGGTTTCTCTTGTATGACGTTTTCTGGTTTTTTTTTTTGGTAATTTGTTTTGTTGAGAATAAAGCTTTTCATCTTTTTTTGGTGATATTTTTTCAGTCCCAGGGTCTCATTAGCCCGCTTACTACCTTGGATTTTTGAAGCGCAAATTTTTACAAAAAAAACAACGCAGGAAATGCCGCGTCGAAGCGCGCAGATAAAAGCGGAAGTGCCGGATGAGCCGATGGACACGAGCGGCGCCCAGCAAAAAGGTAACTCTGGTTCTTTCGCATTATCGGAGGTGGACCGAACTTTTTTGTGCAAGTATAGAGATGTCTGTTAACGTCAAGAGAAGTCTTTTACTAATTTTTAATCAGTAAAACGATTTTAGTTAAAAAATGATCGAAAAACTTTCAAAAACTCGAAATTTTGGTCGAAAACAATGTTTTTGACATTTTTTAATAAATTTTGTATGATTTTCTCGTTTAAAGTTGCAAAACCCATTTAGAAACACTTCCAATATTTATTTTTGAAAAATTAGATCCTAAGAAAAGAAAAATCTGTCCCCCCGATAATGCAAGAGTACCTAAAATCCTTTTAAACTGAGCGATTTGAATTTTTAGAGACAACCGGTTGGCCAACGGACGAGCTGCGGATGCTGAGCGAGCGCGTTCTAAATGTACGATTTTTACGGAATTCGAATAGCTTCGTTTTTTCAGACCTACGACACCCCCACGGACTTTGCGGGCGTGCCCTGCCAAGAATTTGACCTGACCGCCTTCTTGGATGCTATTCATGTGAGTTTTTTTGCGCTTTTCGGAGATAGGAGTATGTAGATTGACATCATCAACGAGTCGAAGGATAAATTCGAGCTCGAATTCGACCTGGTCGGCGTTGAGGCGCCGATTGCGAATGCGATTCGCCGCGTTTTGATCGCCGAGGTTGGTTTGATGGGATTTTGCGAAAATTAACGTTCTTCCAGGTCCCAACGTTGGCCATCGAAAAAGTCTACCTCTACCAGAACACGTCAATCATTCAGGTAAGGCTTTTCATGTGTATTTTTATTCTTTTTGATTGTTTCGCATTATCGGGGGAACACAATTTTTCTTAGGATCCAATTTTTTAGCATAGATAGCGTCAGTGTTTGAAACTGTTTTTTTACTGATCCTGAACGTAAAAACTACAAATTTTTCTGAAATAAAAATACGAAAATTTTTAAAATCTTTGACGGACATTTCTACTTTTTGAAAACTTCTGAAAGTCTGAAGTTTTATGGTTTCAAGTTTTTGAGGTATCTAGTTGAAATGTAGTTTTATTTTATTAAAAACATTGTTAAAATACCGCTTTTCAATTACTAGGCATTCCTAGACTTCTACGAAAAATTTATCTGCCGGATAATACTAAGCAGTGAATAGATGAGTATTTTTTTAGGACGAAGTATTGTGCCATCGTTTCGGGCTCCTTCCCGTCAAAGCCGATCCCCGTCAGTTCAATTGGCCAACGGAAAAGGTTTGTGTTTTCAGGCTGTCCTTTAGCCCTCCTTTCTTTAGATTGTCGGCATCAACGAAAACGTCGATTGCTCCGAGGAGCCGGCCGGGGAGCCGAATCGCAATTTGGTTTTTGATTTTCACGTATGTACTTACAATTTAATCCTTCTAAACCTAAAATTCTAGGTAAAATGCAAGCGCAACCCGCGCGCCGTCCCCAGCGACACAGCACCAGAAGCACTCTACATCGACTCGTCCATTTATTCGAAGGATTTCAAGTGGTGTCCTATTGGGAATCAGGTTAGCTTTTTTTTGTTTACAATGGTTCTTTCGCCTTATAAGGGGGGAGACGAAACTTTTTTGTAATTCTAGAAATGTCTAGGAAGTATATTAAGAGTGTTTTTAGAAAACAAAAACTATATTTCAGCTCGAAAACGTTTTTAAAACATTTCTAAAAGAGGAAAAGTTTCGCTATTTATATTTGAAAAATTGAATCCCAAGAAAAGGATTGCCCTTCCCCCCCCCGATAATGCGAAAGAACCTGTATAATTTATTCGGGGTTGAATCATTGTTTTTTCTCAAAATTCTTCTTTTTTTAGGCCGCCGACTTTGCAGCGGATCCGCCTCGCATGGTGCACGACGACATTTTGGTCGCTAAATTACGTCCCGGGCAAGAGGTAGCGTAATACTTAATCTGTAACTCGTAATTTATCATTTTTTTCAGATTGAAGCCCGGCTGCACTGCGTGAAGGGCGTCGGCCGTGACCACGCGAAATTCAGCCCGGTCGCCACGGCCTCGTACAGATTACTGCCCACGATCCGTCTGAAGGAGCCGATCACCGGCGAGGCGGCCCACCGACTTCAAGACTCGTTCTCCAAGGGCGTCATCGAGATCAAGAAGCAAGGAGGTGCGTGCGGAGCTCCAGGTTTAAGGGGATTAGCAAAGCATATGGTTCTGGACTGTTAGCGGGGGGGACAACAGTTTTCGGGCAGGGCTTATAGTATTTTACATAGTTTTTATAGATACAAAGTTTCGAAAAAACGTAGGTATTTTTGCAAAGGCTAGACTTTTTCGTCAAAAATGTGTAAAAAATCGGCAAAGGGTACGATTCTGAAGTTTCAAAATTTAAAAAACATTTTTGGAACTTTCGAGGAATTAAAAAATACTAAAAACTAAAAATACGTTATATATTATCAACAGGTAGGTGGAAATAGGCGGAAAAACAACATAAATCCCCCTCCCCCGCTAACAGTCCAGAATCGAGAACCTATGGCAGCGAAAATGCGTAGCCTTGCCTTGCCCATCCCTTTAAAAGGTCCACATTTTTAGGAGTCGAAGTCGCAGAGGTGGTGGATGCTCGTCGAGATACTTGCAGTCGAAACGTTCTTCGCCACGACGACCTCGCCGCGAAGGTCGAATTGGGCCGGAAGAAGCAGCACTTTATTTGTACGTGTTCGTCCTTAAAATTTAAAAATCTGTTGTTTAGTCTCGATCGAGAGCACGGGCGCGATGCCAGCCCACGAGCTGTTTGTTGACGCTTGCAAGGTAGCGCACGCTAGTTCGCTTCAAAGCTCCAATTTTCAGATCCTCGCCGCCAAAGCGGCGTATCTGCGAAGCATGTGCGAGCCGAAATGGGTCACCATCTAGCCTCCAAATACTTTGATCTTTATCGTTATTGTTGATTTTGTTGTTTGTTGCTCATTGTTACATGTTTTTAGTTTGGCGCGTTTCCGACGAAAAAATGCTACAAGTTTATTTGCAAGCTTCGAAAAGCACAATATTTACAGAGCTGCGACTAGAATCGGTACCTAACCAAAAAAAAACACGCACACGAAACGAAATATCAAGCCTTGACGCAATTAAGACACACGTTTTGACGAGGTGGGTGGGGTGCGGGTGGTCAAAGAATAAGGCTGGCTGGGGCTAAATGCCTGTCAACGGCTCGAGCGGGCTGTCACCGCGATTCTCGGCGCTCGCCTGAAATTGAACGCTTGAATATGCTGGTCGAGGATAGAATTTTGGACAGACGGCCGCGTGAGTGAAAAGAAATGAAACTGGAAACTTCAAGCGCTCATTTCCAACGTGATACAAAAAGACCTGTTTTAAATTAAGCTCAATCGATCCACTGCACGCTCACGCAACAGAATCACAGAATTATGCACAAAAAATTGGTGCCACAACCAGAGAATTTTGGGGATGAGACGATTTTTGATTTGACACTTAAAAAGGAGACGCTACCTAACTAAAGGGGATTAAAAAGACAGGGCTCTTCGCATTATCAGGGGGGGGACTTTTTTCTTAGGATCTAACTTTTGGTCTTTCGATTTATTTCTAGTTATTTTTTACTAAAAAAATGACTTTAAAGTTACTCGAGAATTCACGTAATACAAAGCAGTTCCCCCCCTGCCCTCTAATAATGCGAAAGAACCAAAAGTAAGCCAATAGCGCAATGCGTCTAAAAATCACTAATATTCCCACTCTTTCCACCCGGTTAAATGAGCCAACGCATTATAGGCCATCCTGATCATTCCCCCTTGCCGTATAGTGGGGCGCTAACGATTTTTTCCTAAACACTAGCGGGGCACGACAGTCATCCCAGGGCTCGATGCAGATTGAGGTGTCTCGAACGGCGACGAGATAGACGCGCTCACCTATCACCACGCGCTCGGCTTTGTCCAGGGGCAGAGAGCTCACCCGCTCTAATTTTGATGTCGTTGCAGCTTTCTCGGCTGGCGGTTTGTCTGATGACTGGCTACCCGTATTCTTCGTACTCGTTGGGGCGGGCGGGAGCGCCTTCTAAAAATATAATATTGGTAAAAAACTTGAAAACTAACCCCCCGTTTCACTAGCGTCGCCTCTAACGATTCGAGTCGTGCGCGAAGGGCGGCGATTTCCTCTTCTTGCTCTTCCTTGTATCTCAAGAATTTCTCTTCTTTGACTGTCGGCTCGGCAGTGAGCGTGGTGTATGCCCAGAAGCCGGCGTAGACGCCAACCGAGTAAGTGAAGATCACGAATTGTTGGATCGCTTCCGTCGCCTAGAGCTTGGTTTTGTGCCCCGAAAAAAAGCCTCACCTCTTCCAGGGCCACCGCTTCCGTTACTTGCTGATCGGTAATCGGCTTGCCCAGGCCAAGCTTTTCCATTCGTAACCGCGTTTTCATGTGGACAATATCTAGAAAAAAATTCAATGCAAACCAGCGAAACTTACATCTTCCAACCGGGACCAAGATCCGCTGCCGAAAGAAAGGGTGGCTTTTACCATATCGCATCACGGCCTCGGAGACCGGTTTGCTCACCTAAAAAGCATGATAAAAAGAAGCTAAACAGCAAAAGTTACCTGCCGAACGGCGATCATTACGACTTGTATCAACGGGAACCCCATGGTGGCGGCGGGGCAGTCTCATAAAAGCCGGGGTGGCTGTAAAAAGAAAATGATCTATATAATAATAATAATTTATCAAAAGCTTAATGCAGAGTTTAAAAAAAGCACTAAAATGCCAAGACCGTTTGCGTGATTTCCGAAGCAACTTGCAACAAATGAAAAAAAAAAAAAAAAAATTAAAAAAAAAAAAAAAAAAAAAAAAAAAAAAAAAAATAAAAAAAAAAAAAAAATTGGGGCCCATTGCATCAAAGTAACAAGCTTCACGCAGCCAGGCGGTTGCCGATCGGCAACGAGGAGCTACCAGAAAAACGCGCGAGAATGGCGGGCAGACCCCCAATCCAAAGCAGGGAGTCAGGAGAATCCTTTGAAAATGTGGCTGCGAACTTCTGGAAAAACTTTTTATTAGAAATTGCTGCAACAAATATTTAGTAACGGGCTGGGGTACTTTGAAAACTGAAAATGAGCGGCATCCAGATAATTTAACAAACTGAAAACTGAATAACAACACGAGGACCAGTTACCGACCGGGGAAAACGAACAAACTAAACATTAGTAAAGATGGGGGAGATCAAAATCGGGAAATCAAATGTGTACGTTGCATTTTGTCGCTCATCGGCAGAAGCAGTCGACGATGACCGCAATGGACAAGACAATCAACAGGAAGGCACCCAGCGCTATCGGTATCCTAAAATGACCGTTTTGTTGCCGAGCTGACAATGGATATAGTTCCTATGCACAAATACAAGTTATATCCTTGGTTCTTGAGTATTCCTAGAGGGAAATCCATTTTGAATCAAAATCACCAAAATTTCGGCTTTTTCCAAACTATTCTAACGTTTTTGATTTTTTTTGCTTCTAATATCGTTAACTCGCTAAAACAGTATACAACCACGTTGCATTTAATTACTAGGCCATGGATTGGGAAAAAAGACGGTTTTCCCCGGCGAAAACTCAAAAACCCATCTTTTGCAAAGACTCTCGCTAACGTAATCCGATGAATTTCGATCGAGCGCGTTTTCAGATCGATGTTGCCAAAAATTTAAATGATGACGAGTCAAGAAAGCTAGATCAAACGTCAATCATACCATAGATTGGGTTTGGGCTCGGCGAAGATGCGAGTGTAGGTGACGGCACGGCCCGGGCAGCATTCAATTCCGCAACAGTGCTCTTCGCCGCCAAGGCAATCCCAGGCGACGTATTCGACGTTGTCGCCGTTCTAAAGTCAAATGTAGTAATTTCAAATTTATATTTTCGAGTTTTTCAAACACTTTTCTAATTTTTTGAAACTTTTTCTACTTCACTGATAGTTAATACGTGCTAACAACTCCATAAAACACTTTATATTGCTATTACTAGGCCAATCAGGATCGACAGGCAAATAAATTGGTCTACGAATGTAAACAACCCGTTTAATAGAGATAAGTATACCTCGAACGAAAGCGCGCCGATGCGATAATCCTCCGGATACACCGTGAGCAATTCGCCAGTCGTCAAAAAACAGCGGAACGTGTCCGCGTTCCGGGCTCCATTCATGAGGTGCCATTGGTAGGGGCGGTTCAGCCAGCGGAAAGTCGTCGTAGCGTTCTTGATCGTGACATGTCCGCGGTCGAAAGAAAAGTTCGGTTCCGTCTTTGCCACATGTAGCAGATCCCTTCTGAAGAATCCAGCGTGAAGGACAGAGCCCACTCTATCGCCTGACATGAAGCGATCGGTCGAGGGGAACTCGCTGGGGGCGCTCGAGTTGGTCACGGTAGACGCATTGCTGGGCACCGTCACAATGCGATTCGAATGTAGAGCAACCGCAGGGAGGAAGAGCCACAAGAGGAGGAGTAGCAGAATACGTTGCATTGCTGGAAAAATACCTTTAATTTAGGACAACTGTCATGCCTAATAGCGATAAAGATATACGTGAAAGCAATTATACTTTGCATTTTAGATCCAAGTACAGACAAGAATCTTTATCCAGTAAACTAACAACATGAAATGACACATAACGAGGGAAACCATTGGCAATGCCTATATATTTCAAGATCGCGTCGACGCTCCGTAAACAGGCAGTCGAACCGAGTCGCCCTTGACGTACGCATCCGCCTTCCGGAGCTTGTAGCAAAAGACGCCGTCGAAATCTTCCTTCACGCCACCGGTCGCCAGGAATTCGCCGAGCATTGCTTCTTTGAGCTTTTTCACCTAAATTTTCATCATAAGTGGAAAAGGCGCGCAACAACCTGCATCTCTCCACCAGCATCGTCAAGCTTCCGCTTGATCGAAGCCTTCCATTTGAGGGGGCCGTTGACCTAAGCTTTGATTTCGAAACAAGACCATGATGATACATTTAGTTTTTCCTCCTTGCTTTCCTCGACCATGGCGCTTGGCTTTTCCTCGCTCTTCTCGATGTCCTGCTTCTTGGCGGCTGCCTCTTCTTCCTAACATTTCACTTAGAGGAAGAAAAGCCAATGGAACCTGGATTTTCCTCGCTTCTTCAGAAATAGCGGCCCAGGCGCGTTCGCAAAGGTTTCTGTTGTGGATGCGGATCGAGTTCATGAGGAAGTTGATGAACTTGGCCTCCTGCAAAAACCTTAGCATTCAACAAGGGCTAAACCTTTCGCGGTATGTTCGAAAAGCCCGTGATGCGCTGCAGCAAATCCTTGAGGCCCGGCTCGTTGACGGCGGTGATGGCCCTTTCGACCTGATCGGTCCATTGGTTCTGTTTGGCTTCGCCCTAAATTCGGGGTTATCTAAAAAAACTCCAAAACTATTTACCTTGTTCACTTTCGCCACAAAATTCTTGCCGCCGTATTTCTCATTCTCGGTGATGCATTTTCGGTGTTCGTCGTAACTCTTGCCCCTAAAGCGGTGTTGGAGAAATGTGGCGACAAGCTTACGTGAATGTGGACTGGCAATCGACGCATGAGTACTGGTTCGAGCGGCATCTAAAATGATTTGAAGCAGATAAGCTGAAGGATACTTGTATTCGTGGGTCTGTACTTGTTGCTTCTTCAGCGAATCGTTGCAGCGCCCGCAGACGAAGTAGACCATAGTCAACGCACGTCTCTAAAAATTGGTATCCGGAAGTGGCAATGAACGCGAAAAGTAGCTTATAAAGTAGAGTAAGAAACGAGGCGTAAAAAATAAAAAGAAAATTAGAAGGAGAAAAAAATTTCGATCAGAAATATGAAATGCGTTTTCGTGATCCGTTACTGTACCCTTGTGGGGCGACGTGGTGCAACCAAAAGGAGCGAAATTTGGAGCGTCGCGTTGCTTTTGAAAGAATTTTTTTGCACTTTATTTTTAGACAATAAAAAATAAAACTAACTTACTTAAAATATTTTTCACTATTCCTAAACGTGAAAACTTACAAATTTTCATGAAGAAAAACATCAAAAGATGGATTTTTCGTACCAAAATTGCGACTTTTTCAGGCTTTTGAAAATTTTTTTAGGTAGTTTCTCGAGTTGGAATATAGTTATTTTAAGTAGAGTAGGACCGAAAAAGGCTTTTATCAGTTTAAATTTATTAGTATATTATTAGTTATTTTATTGATTTTTTAGTTAGCCAACGGGTTCAAGAATGGCTTTCTTCAGTTATTCTCCGGCTCTTTACTACATTTTACGCGCGCTGCCACCCAGCGCGGCCCGTTTCCCGCGCGCGTTTCTTCACAGCTATGTGTTTCTCATTGGCAGGATGCCCCCGTTGTGCTGATTCTTCTACGCTACTCTCCCCTCAAAAACACACACACCGTTGGGCCAATCATGCAGCGAAAGTGTGGATATGTGCCACGGGGGGTGTTCTGGTGTCGATCGACTTGGGGGTCTGTATGTCTCCCCGTTCATCTTTGTCCTACTTTTACAGGGTATTACGAAAAAAAGCGGTTTTTACGGTTATTTCGCTTATATGGGGGAGGGGGCATTTTTTTAAGTCTGGAAGTGCCTTGTAACCTAATAGCAAATGTTTTAATAGTGTTTTTAGTAAAATAAGACTAGATTTCAACTAGAAAAACTATCTAAAAACTTAAAAAATTCTCGAAAAGTCGAAATTTTGGTAAAAATGGCCCATTTTTTGTCGAAAAATCGCTATTTTTTGCATTTTCCCCCGATGAGGCCAAACTTCCGCCTCCTTGGCCGTACTCTACTAGCTTTACAAATTTTAATAATAAAAAAAGTTATATTTTGGGTGGAAAACTTGCTTCTAGCACTTTTTAGCAAAAAGCCTACGCCTAGGCCTAAGCATAAGCCTAACAAACCTAAGCCTAAGTCTAAGCTAAGCTTAGCATAAGTCTAAGTCTAAGCGAAGCTTAGCGTAAGCCTAAGTCTAAGCTAAGCCTAGCCGAAGCCTAAGCCTAATCCTAAGCCTAAGCCTAACCTAAGCCTAAGCCCAAGCCTTAGCCTAACCGAAGCCTAAGCCCATCTTCCTCTGATTTATTTGTCTCACACCTCCATTCAGCCGGGGGGTCGATGAACCAGCGCTCGCGCGTGGAAATTTGCGTCCCGCGCCCGCGTGCAGACCGTTACTCCCGAAGTCTTGGCCGGCGACACTTTTGCGTGCCCATTCAAAACCGAAAGGGGTGGATGGGGGGCCCTCAAGGGCACACGTCCATGCACTACACAACTGTACACGGAACGCTCTATTATTTGTTTGCCCGCGCGGGCGCTTTTACCCTCGTTTTACCTGAAAACGGAAGGGGGGAACCCCACAATTTGGCTGCGCCTTTGGAAACGGCCGGGTTTCATTTTTCACTTTTTTAGCGATGGTTTTAAGGCCGTGAATTCGCTCGGGGATTTTGGGGTCGGATAGCTTCCTCTTCTTCACTTTTCAAAGGGTTTTTTTTGGGAGTTTCAAGCAAAATCCCGACACTTAGAATACCGACGGCTAAAGTCCCGACAGCGATAATACCGACAACCAAAACTTCGAGAACGAAAATAGCGACAGCCATAACCCCGAAAGACCAAATACCGACAGCCGTGATCCCGACAGCGATAATGCCGACAACCATAATACAGACAGACCAAAATCCCGACAGAAAAAAATGCCGACACTCCTAGGCAAAATAACGACAGATTCTTTACTACCACTTCTTGTTAAACAGCTATTTAGCTTGCGGGGCGATTTTGTCTTTGGGGATTTTCGCTGTCGGGATTTTCGGAATCTTGGCTGTCGGCATTTTCTTGTCGGGATTATGGCTTTATGGATTTTGGTTTTAGGGTCTGCCCTGTCGGTATTTTAGCTTTGGCGATTTTTGCTGTCGGTTTGGCAGTCGGGATTTTAGCTTGTCGGGATTTTGGCGTTTTCGCTTTTGACGGCTCGAATCCGTCTACTGGGCATCAATATTTTTCTTGAGTTTTTGAAGCTGTTCCGAAAAGTTCAGAAAAAAGCTAAGTGGTATCATCATTTGCCATTTTGAAGCCTTTTCGAAAATTCGGATCGCTTTCGAAATTTTCTATTCTATCGAAAATAATAAAATAATATTTATATTAAGATTAAATTTTCGAAAATCCGAAATTGGGAGCTTCGAAATTGCAATATGGGAAACAATTCGAAAAAGATGTTTCGAAAATATGTGTGGTCAGCGTGAAATAATTGGGGGAATTGCCGGTCCGGCTGTGTGAAAACTTTTTGGAGGTATTCCCTAGACGACGGAATGCTATTAAATCCTCGCTTATCGCCCAGGTCCTATCTTTTTCTTGTTACACCATTTTGCAAACCCAAATTTTATCGCGGTTTGGCCTTGTAAAATATTTTCGAATTTCATTTTGATGTGAAACACTTCTTTTAATTTTATTAGACTATGTTTCATTTAGTTGTTTTTACTTCAAAAACACATTTTTAGTCCAGCCAAAAAACGAGTCGCCGACTACAGTATGCGATGCCGTCCCCGTTCTATATTTTGCTACTGTTTCAGATGAGGCTCGGCGGCTGGGTTTTGGGTCAGTCTTATGAAGTTGTAATTATTTAACCAAAAATTTTTTATTGAACATTTAATTTTTCAAATTTTTCAAAAAATTTGAATTTGTTTTGTTAAAAAAATTTTGGAAATTTTTAAGCCGATTTCACGTGCATGGAGCAGCCAAGCGAACGTCAACTGTTCACCTGCGAGAGTATAGGTCAGTTTTAAAGGGACCGGGAAGTCATTATAAATCTTGGGAAACTTTAACTTTTGCCCGTTCAATTTTAATTTTGATTTGAATTTATGAATTTAGTTTGCATTTTGGAAAAGCTATACTTCCGCCTTTAAATTATTTTAATTTGATTTATTGATTTAAAAAGCGGATAAATTAATTTTAACTGTTTAGGAACGCTCTACTTTTCGTTGAAGCCATTTGAATTGCTAATTAATTTATTTAAAAAGCGGGTAAAGTAATTTTAAATGTCTATTTTCTTATGTCTCGTTTACATCAGTTTAAGGCCTATTTAATCGATTTAAAAGGGTGATTAATTCATTTTAAATGTTAGAAAAGCTCTACTTGTTCGTTTACATAAGTTTAATTTTTGTTTAATTGATTTGAAACACGGGTGAATTAATTTTTAATGTTTAGAAAAGCTCTACTTTTTCAACGTGACCTCCGGAAAATGCCAGCGTTTTTGGGGGTGTGATCGGCGATTTTTCGGGAGCCTTGCCGAATGTTTCGTCGATTGTGAGGATGCGGCGCCGACCAAATTCCGTAATTTCTTTCTTTTGGCTCTTCGTTTTTTAATTTTGTTCAATCAATTTTTTATAATAATAATCACGCATTCGAAAATGGCGAACTATTACGGTATCCGAAAAATGTAATGTGGTTTTGAGCTTACCGTGGTCTTTCGAATTTGTACATTTGTAAACGCCATTGCGGAAACTTTAATTTTTAAAAATAGCGCGTACTGGAAATTGATTAATTACCAACAATTGCATTATAATCCTACCTTATATAATTTGGTCGCGTATCTTTGTGTGTGTGTGTGTCCGGTGCCAGGGAGGGCTACTTTGCATAATTCCAAAAAATACAAATTTCCTCATTCTTAAAGTTGCACGCGCGGGTGTGGTCGGAGGAAGGGAGGGGTCCGAAGGACCCAAGCTATCGGAAAGTGAAATTTTTCATGCAACGGCCGCATTCCAGCGCCCAAGGCCCGCGAAGCGGGTTTTGGGCGCTGGTAATTTTAATAATAACAAAATGTCTGAAATTTTACAAAATTTAGGGCAAAAATTCCCTGTTTGAAAATGTAATTTTTCAAAAATTGTTAAAAATCCAGCGTTTTAGCAATCACAGCAGTTCCGCCCGCCGCTGCATCAGTATTTAGCCCCAGGACCAGGACTACGGTAATTTACCAAAAAATGAAAGTTAATAAAATTTTATGGTAGCCTGCACCGTTGATTGCTAGAGGTTTTTGTTTTTAAAATACTTTTTACACGATTTTTTTTGGAATTTGGATTTTTAGACGTATTTCGACCAGTCTAAGTAAATTACAGTGAACGTAATTTTAGTTTAAAATGCCAATACCCATTGGTACGGTGTATTACTGGAAATTTCCGCTTTTCAGAATCGATGCTAGTCAAAACATTATTTTTAAAATCTTCGATTCCATTTCTTCTCAGATTCCTCCCAGCAGCTCCACGACGCTCCGAACAACGGTGTGGAACTCAGCGAAATATGCGGAAATTAATAGGAAATACGAGGCGGTGGCTGCGAATCGACTGCCGGAGGCCGCCATGATCGAGGCGAGTTTTAACGTATTGAAAAAGTTAAACAAATTAAAATTGAGTTGTTTCACTTTGTTACTAGGTAGATGAGCGATGGGTTTCGTTAATATAATCGTTTCGCCAAGCCTAAAAGAAGCCTAAGTCTAAGCCAAGCCTAAGCCTAAACCTAAGCCTAAACCAAGCTTAAGACGAATTCTAGGCCCACTCCTTATTCCGATTTAGGTACTAGCCGCTACCCAAGAAAACGAGGCCATTTCGGAGGAGCCAATGCTGGAAGTGACCGATCAGGGCGAATCGGGAAATATGGCCAATTTGGCGTTAGAAGATTTGCTCGAAAATTCGGGAAGGATACCGGAAACGACTCGAG